CCCTACACAACTACCACGGATCTCTAACTGTCTGCATATTTTTATTCCGACCCTGGGCAATATTTCGTAATAGTTGCATCCTCTTACCGGTTAAGAGGGCAAGAGCACCTCTTCCTTATACTGACATATTTTCCGAATATTACTAATATTCAGAACAGTTCCTCTAATTACTTGTCCATATTCCCTTCAGCGTGGGTTGTGTGGCGATGTTCGGCTTATTATTGTGGCCTCGAAGGAAAAAAACACAACCAGTCCACTCCATCTCGAAATTATTATCTGATCATTACCGAAAATTATAGGCGTTGTCCTTGACCATATCTGGAACCTCATGGAACATTTCAAAGCGATTCGCGGTATATTTCCGCCCTCTAGTGTGGTAATGTGTTCCTAAATAATACTCATAAGCACCTGTAAATATTTACGTGTAACTCCTACATCCGAGTACATACGATAATATAATTGCTGTCAATTTAAAGGCCAAACACTCCTCTTGGATATTCTGTCAACTTCTCGTATACGTCCCTCAGGAGTAAGTATATAGGCTACAGAATAAAAATTTTGTAATTTTTAACACAAAAGTCATGGTCCATTTGACCCACTAAATACTGACCGATCTTTATCAAAACTACATGCTTATTCTTTGGCCCGATCCACACACAATTGCGGCCACAATTGCGGCCTCTGGAGCGTCCAGAAAAACCAACAAAAATAAATTTGTTGGTCCATTTCATCCCTTAAATATTAACCGATCTTTTCCAAAAACAATAGGGGTCTTCATTGGCCAGAGCCCATCCTACATGCAAAATTTCGTGAAGATTGACGATTGGTATACTTAAAGGTGGGTCTAGGGCCAATATTTCGCGGCGTTACAAACTTTTGGGGCTGTACAAAGCTATAATACCCTGATTCGGATAAAAAAATGTGTCCATAATGGACAGACGGACGGACACACATATCTAAATCGACTCAGTTAGTAGATATATGATGATCGGTATACTTAAAGGTGGGTCTAGGACCAATATTTCGCGGCGTTAAATTACATTCATTGAAAAAAATATTTTTATATATCCACATTCCATGAAAAAATATTTTTGAAAAAAAAAATCGCGTTCATTTGGAGTTCTCCAAAAAACTGCTGTAATAAGAGATTCTCTCTGACATTTTTGGAAATAATACAATATTGCTTCCCAGAAATCTAAAAATTCTAAACAACTAGTAGCCAGATATTCTGCCATTGAAAAAAACATGTCTGTCTACATTTATGACATGATTTCATTGTAGACCAAATTGTATATCTCCTGCATTTGGACTACGATTTGGTTGTATTTTCATGGATGATGTGATGTTGCACTTTGCAATTTATATTTTGTTCATTTATTTAGTGTTTTGTGAGTTTTTTTTTCATTGGTGTCCGGTTTTTAGAAATAAACAAAATGTTTGACTGCTTGACTGTGCGTGGTGGGCGTTTTGCTGTTGTTTTGTTTTGCAAAATGTTTTGGTCTTTGGCATTTGGCCAATTGGCTTAATTAAATTAAACAGATTTTTAACTCCGAGGAACAAAAACAAAAAAAAAAATACAATAAAAATCTACATACGCGTGTATGTGTGTTTCTGCTATTTGCCATGAAAGCCAAACCCAATTGAGGGAAAACAAAAAACAAAATTGTTTGGAAAATAAAATTTTAACAAAAATCTAGAACAGAAAATGTAACATTCCAGAAATCCACAAAAAATGCAAAATAAAAATCAACAACAAAAAATGATGGAAAACGTTGCCTGCTTATTCAAAATTGTTTCTACTTTTTTTTGGCAAATTTTTATTTTTTGGCTTGTATTCAATGTCATAGAAATATTTTACTATGTCAATGAAATTTGCCACAATTCTAGTTATGTATTTATTTTTTTTTATGTCTCTTGTTTTATTTTTTGGCATCTGCAGAGGTTTTTTATTTATTTATTTTTTTTTTTTTTGGAATATTCCGCCTGTCATATATTCCAATTTATTTAGGAAATTTAGTTTTTGGATGATATTTTATTATTTCAGTTTTGCTTTAGACATTTAAATAATGTTTAGTATTATTATAATGGATGCTCTGAACGATTTTAGCTGCAGTGGAACCTGTAAAATGAACAATTTCTTAATGAAACATGTTTGGCTTATTTTTTAAAGGATTTTTTTTAAATATTCTACACAATTTTGATCAATATTTTTGTGCTTCACCTTTTTTTGGCGATAGGCTCCACTGTCTTATGTGCTATTATTGTTATTTAAATGTTCACATAATAGTGTTGTGTTGTCGGTTTTGTTTTGTGGCTTTATGCCATTTATTTGAATAAGATAATTTATGGTATGGCATAAACCCATCAAAATTCTGTAGTTTTTTTTCAGTTCCTTTTCCGAACAAATTGAATATAAGGACTAATTTATTATTAAAATTGTTATTATAAGTTAAAACCAAATTACGCGGAACTATTGTGGGCTTTGTATGAGGACCTTGAAAAATAAATGTATCAAAATTCAAGACCACAAGACATCATTAAAAAAATATTTTTTTTAAATCAAATTCTATAAGAGGTTAATTATACCCTACACAACTATGTTGTCAGGGTATTATAGCTTTGTGCAGCCCCAAAAGTTTGTAACGCCGCGAAATATTGGTCCTAGACCCACCTTTAAGTGTACCGCTCATCATATCTCGACTAGCTGAGTCGATCTAGACATGTGTGTCCGTCCGTCCATTAAAATTTGTAAACACGATACAGGCCACAGTTATGGACCAATCTCCACGAAATTTTGCAAGTAGGATGGGTTCTGGCCAATGAAGACCCCTATTGTTTTTTAAAGATCGGTTAATGTTTAGGGAACGAAATGGAACAAATACTAAATTGTTGTCGGTTTTTCTGGTAGCTCCAGAGGCCGCAATTATGACCCAAACATCTCGAATTTTTACATGGAGAAGGGAATTGGTCCAAAGAATAAGCATGCATGTTTTGATAAAAATCGGTCAATATTTAGCGGGTAAAATGGACCCTGACTTTTGTGTGAAAAATGACAAAATTTGTATTCTATAGCGTATATATTTACTCCTGAAGGACATAGAGCCGAGAAGTTGATAGTATATCCAAAAGGAGTTGTTGACCTTTAAATTGATGCCAATTATATTGTCGTATGTGCTCGGATGCGGGAGTTACACTTGAATATTTACGGGTGCTTACATATTCAGATATTATATTGAGGTTCTAGTTATGGTCAAGGACAATGCCTATAATTTTCGGATCAGATGATCAGATGTCGATCTACAGGCCACAATTGAAAGTTCAAATAATATTGGAATCGAATATTAGAGGACCTAAAACTATATCGAACTTTTTTTTCGTCGAAATTGTGTATTTCCACTGGTTTTTATACTATTTTTAATCAACGAACCTATTTTCAGGCCATCCTTGGAAAAATAATTTAAAACCAGTGAGCGGAGCAGTATATTCGGACGGGGCCGACCATATGATACCCTACATAACTACCACGAAAATCAAACTTTCTGCGGTTCTATATTCTCAGCCTGGACAATATTTCGAGATATTTGCACCCTTTTTACCGATCATAGATCAACAACTTCACTTTCTAACCCTGGCATATTTTCCAATTTTTTTTCTTGAAGTGAATTTTTAAGCCGTAAAATAAAAAACGATCATCATCTAAACTGTCGCTCTAAGTATTTGGTCAGATCCCCTTCAGCTTGTACAATATGTGATGTTCTGCATATAATAATTGCCTCTAGAGCGACTAGAAAATCTGACAAAATTAAAGTTTTCCGTTCATTGCACCCCCTGAATGAAATCTCAACTCAAAGCTATCAGCGAGACATTTCCGCCCTCTAATGAAGTAATAGTAATATTCTGCATATAGTCACCTTTACCTAATTATGTATAACTCCCACATCAGAGTACATGCAGCCAGAAGTTTGGTATCAATTTGAAGGTGAACAACTCCTCTTGGATACACTATCAACTTCTCGTCTCTATGTCTTTCAGGAGTATGTATATACGCCCCAGAATAAAAATTTTGTAATTTTTCACACAAAATTCAGGGTCCATTTGACCCGCTAAATATTGACCGATCTTCATCAAAACAGGAATGCTTATTCTTTGGCACGATCCTCTTCTCCATGTAAAATTTCACGATGTTCGGACCATATCTACGGCCTCTGAGCGACCAGAAAAACCCACAAAAATTAAGTATTTGGTCCATTTCATCCCTTAAATATTAAAAGATATTTACCAAAAACAATAGGGGTCTTCATTGGGCCTAACCTATCCTCCATGCAAAATTTTGGGAAGATTGGTCCATAACTGTGGCCTTATCATGTTTACAAATTATAGATAGATCGACTCAGCTAGTCGAGATATGACGATCGGTATACTTAAAGGCGTTACAAACTCTTGGGGCTGCACAAAGTTATAATACCCTGACAACATAGTTGTGTAGGGTTTAAAAATCCTCTCCCATTTGATATTCGTGAAAAGTCAGATACATTCCTCGTGTAATCGTACATACCTACATAATACATACGAATTTTGAGTGTTAAAATCTCCTTACAAAAAATTCTAGATATAGGTATACTCTGCTAGACCTATCTAACAATAAGTTCAATGGGGCTTGGAAATTTCATTACAAACATCACACTCAAAATTAAACTTATACAAAATTCCAAAAAAAAAACTGTATGTTATTTTATGGCAATGTCATTTACAATCGCCATCTCCCAGCTCTGCAATATATAGAAAAAAAAAACATGCAAATCACTTGGGTATCAACAATAATGATGTTGGAAATTATTATGCATATTGGGGCTCATTAATGAAGTAAATCGTAATTTTTTCATAAAAAACAAATATTTGCAAGCAGTAAGGTCAAAGTAATTCTGCTTGATTACAATTTAATATTCAATTTAGAATACAACAACAATAACAATTCCCCTTTCTTTTTTTTTCCTTTGCAGCCCCGCAACAAGGAACAAGAACAAGAAGTCTTGAACTGGATCTTTGAAGTTTTGGGCGAAAAGGTGCCAGCCGGTCAATATGAAGATATCTTGAAGGACGGTATTGTCCTCTGCAAATTGATCAACAAATTGGCCCCCGGTTCCGTTAAGAAAATCCAAGAACGTGGTACCAACTTCCAGTTGATGGAAAACATTCAACGTTTCCAGGCTGCCATCAAGAAATACGGTGTCCCCGAAGAGGAAATTTTCCAAACTGCTGATCTCTTTGAACGTCGTAATATTCCCCAAGTTACATTGTGCTTGTACTCTTTGGGACGTACCGTAAGTAACACTGCAACCTAATAAACTATCCATTTAAATAATAACAAATGAAATTTAAATTTCAGACCCAACACCATCCTGAATACACCGGCCCCACATTGGGACCCAAAATGGCCGAAAAGAACGTTCGTGAATTCACCGAAGAACAATTGCGTGCCCACAATGCTGAACTCAACTTGCAAATGGGTTACAACAAGGGTGCCTCTCAATCTGGCCATGGTGGTTTCGGCAACACCCGTCACATGTAAATAATTCCGTACCACCCTCCACAAATTCACCATATTTTTTTTTTCTGCCGTATACTAAGTCAGCGTTTTTCTCTTTTGTTTTAAATTAAACTACTAATTTTCATTTTTTTGTTTGTTATCGTTCGTCGTCCATATATATGTCACGTCGTCGTCGTTTTCTCATCACAATTTTTTGTCTGTCATTCTGTTTGTTTTTCTACTTTAAAAATAAGTGAGGTCTAGTTATATTAAAGAAAAGATAAAAAAATGTTTTGTTCTTATATTTTTTAATTAAGTAAAATAAATATTAATATAAATCTAAAATAAAACAGAAAAAACTTAAGCAAAAGTGGTTTTAATCTCGGTATCCTTTTGTGAGCCCTTGAAGATTTATTCGGTTACAGGTACTTAACTAGATAAAAATGCTGAAACAAGGGGAATTTTTCATTTGTCTGGGAAGGTTGGTGGGAAAATAGACAACTTAGTTGGTTGGCATACATACAATGTGGTTATACTTCTCTAAAATGACAAAAATCGATTATAGAGTTATGCAATTTTTTTTTTCGAAAACGTAAATTTAGATAAAAACTAAAAATGAAATATTTATATCATTATGTTTAGCCGGGCAGAACTTTTGTATAGCTCACAATGGTAAACAAATAAAAAATAAATATGTAAAGGAAATAGCCAAAAAATCTTTCAAAAAATTCAGGATATGGACAAAATATTTAAGAAAATCCACGCCTTTGTAAGGACTTTGAAAAAAATACGAGGTTATTGAAAACAATTCATAACAAATCCACGCCTTTGTAAGGACTTTAAAAAATGCGAGGATATTGAAAACAATTCTTAATAAATCCACACCACTGTAAGGACTTTGAAAAAAAAAAATTGCGAGGATATTGAAAACAATTCTTAACAAATCCACACCTTTGTAAGAACTTTGAAAAAAATTGCGAGGATATTGAAAACAATTCCTAACAAATCCACGCCTATACGAGGTCCTTGAAAAAATATTTAACAAATCACACCTTAGAAAAAAATGCGAGGATATTGAAAACAATTTTTAACAAATCCACGCCTATATGAGGTCCTTGAAAAAATATTTAACAAATCCACACCTTTGAAAAAAAAATTGCGAGGATATTGAAAACAATTCTTAACAAATCCACGCCAATATGAGGTCCTTGAAACATATTTAAAAAATCCACACCTTTGTTAGGACTTTGAAAAAAAAAAATTGCGAGGATATTGAAAACAAATCTTAATAAATCCACGCCTGTATCAGGTCCTTGAAAAAATATTTAACAAATCCACGCATATATGAGGTCCTTGAAAAAATATGTAAACAATTCCCCCCTACATGAGGTATTAAAAAAAAAGTTTAAGAAAACCCACGCCTTTGTGAGGTCCTTGGAAAAATATTCAAGAAAGTACATGCCCTAGAACTCCTTGGAAAAAATACTTAGGAAAATCCACTCCAGTAAGATATAAAATATCCAATAAAATATTCAATAAAATCCACGCCTATATTATGTCCTTGAAATAAATATTTAAGAAAATCCACACCTAATTAAGACAACCCACGCCTATGCGAGGTCATAGAAATAATTTATACAAAAATACACAAAAATAAAAGGTCGCTTCAAAAAAAAAAAAAAAAAAAAAGACCACCCAAGCATATGTGAGGACATTAGAAAAAACGTAAAAAAAATCCACGCCTGTACAAGGTCTTCGAAAAAAATTATTAGGAGAATCAACCATACGAGGTCCTTGAAAATTTTTAAAGAAATTTCCCGCCTATATGATGTCCTTAAAAAAATTTTAAGAGATGCTAATAGGAAACGGTATGAAGGTATTTAAGGTATCTGAGGTATCTGAAACAAAATATTTCAAAAAAATCCCAGCCCATAACAAGTCCTTCGAATAAAATATTAAAACAAAACCCACACTTATAAGAGGTCCTTCAAAACAGATTTTAAACCATTGAGCGGAGCAGCATAGTTGGGCAGGGACGACCATATGATACCCTACACAACTTCCAGGAAAATCTAACTTTATATGCTTCTATATTCTGAGCTTGGGCAATATTTCACGATATTTTCACCCTCATGGCAGACTAGAGGTCTACAAATATTACTAATATTCAGTACAGCCCTTATAATTACTTGTCCACATTACCTTCACTGCGGGTTGTGTTGTGTTGTTCGGCGTTCAATTATGGTCTATAGATCCACTCGAAAAGACACAACCAATTAAGTTTTCGGTCCACTTCATCCCAATATTATTATCTGAACATCACCGAAAATTATGGGCGTTATCTTTGACCATAACTGGATCCTCTTGGATCCAGCTATCGAATACAAATTTTATAATTCTTCACACAAAAGTCAGGGTCCATTTGACCCTCTAAATATTGACCGATCTTCATCAAAACAGGCATGTTTTACCTTTTTCCCGAAACTTAAGACACACCATTCTAAATTCAATTCAGTACACTATGCCAAAATTCGTGCAAATCGAAGGATTTGCATTTAATCGGACGAAACTATATATGGGAGCTATATCTAAATCTGAACCGGTTTTTATTAAACTTGCGCTATGCCAAATTTCTTGCAAATCAAAATATATATAGAGACCATTTACATTAAATCGGACCAAACTTTATATGTTAGCTATATCTAAATCTGAACGCAATTTCAAAAAATTTAACACACATCATTGTAGACCTAATTAAGTACGCATTGCCAAATTTCGTTAAAATCGAATGATATATAGGGACTTTGGTACACCATTTTCATTAAATCGGACGAAAATATATATGGGAGCTATATCTAAATCGGAATCGATTTTCAGGAAACTTTACACACATCATCCTGGACTCAATTCAGTACACCATACCAAATTTCGTAGAAATCGGAATTTATACAGGGACATTGTCACCTCATTTACATAAAATAGGACGAAAATATATATTGGAGCTATATCTAAATCAGAACCGATTTTCAGGAAACTTAACACACATAATTGTAGACCTAAAGCAGTACACCATGCCAAATTTCGTGCAAATCGAATGATATATAGGGACTTTGGTGCACCATTTACATAAAATCGGATAAAAATATATATGAGAGCTGTATCTAAATCTGAACCGATTTTCACGAAACTTAACACACATCACTCTAGACTTAATTCAGTACGCTATGGCAATTTTCGTGCAAATCGAAAGATAAATAGGGACTTTGGTACACCATTAACTTCAAATCGGACGAAAATATATGTTGAAGCTATATCTTAATCTAAACCGATTTTCCCCAATTTCAATAGAATTCGCCCTTGGGCCAAACAAATGAGCTGTATCAAATTTCATCCAAGTCGGGTTATAAATGCGATCTGTACTGTGTTTACAATTTAACACCAATAACGGATAAACAGACGGACATTCATAAATCGACTTAGAAATTGATTCTATGCATATTCTCAAAAGGAACCATGGGTCTATCTCGATTCCGTTTGCCTGCTGCAAACATATGCACAGTGTCGCACAGTGTGGTGAAGGGCATAAAAATATTTTTTTTTCTCGAAATAGGTTTGTATTCAATTGTTTTCAAGGACATTTTTGACTTGTATTTCTAAATTTAATATCCGTCCGTCCACAGTTCATTTATTTGGCCTAGTTCAGTTTTTCAAATAGTTGTCAAAATTCATTTTGTTTGATTTTATGGCAATCTCAGGAACATCTCTTGTATGTATATACCCAATATGATGAAAGATTTGTGAAGGAGATGTCTTTAGAGTTTGTAAAAATGTTTCCTTACTCCATATTATTTGCGATTTCCAACATCTTTGTTTAATTCATCACTTTTATTATCTCCAAATCTAAACAGTATTCGCTTTAACTGCAAATCACCCTTTAAACCCAGAATACTAACATGATAATAAGATATTTTATGGTTATGACTATGAGACGGAGGGCATAAAAATGTAGTTTGTTTTATTACAGGCTTCTCGTAAATAAAGCCTTTGATAGTTTAACATGCATTTATGTTCAAGTTTACATCGTAACCTCTAACAGGCATTAACACATTACAGCATAATTATGACCTATGTTTTTAAAGTTAGTGTCGACATTTGGTATACTGTAGCAAAAAAAAATCTTGGCAGATTTATTATTTAGGTGAGATTGTGAAATTATTGTTAAGCATTTTTTAATAAATTAATTTTCCATAGAATAAACGAAGGTCATCTAATAGAAGACCACAGTTTATTTCTTCATATTAGAAGACAAGGGGGTTTTCTCATAGAAGGACAGAAGCTTTTCTGATAGGAAACAAGGTGTTATTTTCAATGGAGGTCAGGAGCGTTTTCATAAAATACCAGAAGAATATCTTGCAAAAGAAAGTTCATAGAAGACTATTCTATCCCTCCTTCTTTGCATCTACAAGTTGCTCATACCCTTAAACATATCTTTTTTAAAAATCTCCGCCTTCAGCCTTTGAAATATTTCTTGAAAATCTACTTGTTTCTCTTTATAATTTATGTTATACATAACTAAAAGTATTTCAAATATATTACATCAATCAACCAATTAATTTTAGTTGCAATCGAAATTACTTATCATTTCATTCGAATAACTCCACAATTTGTATTATAATTCTCGATATAAACTATTGTTGAATAATAAATAAGTTTTGCAAGACAAACTAAATAATTTCTTCACATAATAAGCAACACTCAATTTGTATAACATGAATTATGATTATTACTAGTATTACTACTACGTAGCACAATTATTATCATTTTTATTTTATTTTAATATTACAAATGAATGCATCCAATTATGAATTTAAGTTGTGAACTAGTTGTATTTCATTTGGGACTTAACATTTCATTGGAAAGCCAAGCAACCAGAATAATGCTAAATAAAAATGCCAATAGAAAAATCAAAGTCCACTTTATTGCTACTGCTTGTGTGAGCTTAACTCATCAGTGAGCATTTCTAAAAAAAAAACAAAACAAGTGAAAAAGCG